ATGTTTTAGCATAATTGGGCTATCAAAGGGAATGAGACTTGAGCTAAATTATAAATTATTCTTGTCTCTATCAGCTACTCATTGATTTATATCGTTAAAGCCAACTGCCAATTAGGTTTACTTTAACGTTTTTTATAAGAACTCCTGTCAAGATAGGCTTTTCCCGGATACCACATTTTAGAGTGGGTACTTTTTTGGTCGTTTTCTAGACTTAATATATCTGCTATACGAGTTGTATTAGGCAATTTCGCTTAAGATGCTGAAGGACTGGTAGGCTCGGCCTTCTTTGAAACTAGCTTCTCCTATGTAAATACAACGGTACGCCCGAAAAGTGGTTTAGTAGCTAACGCTTCGAGAATATAAACTGTATTACTTGGTTTCCAGTCCGGTCGAAGATACGGGTGATACTTAGGCGAGATCAAGACTGCAGTCCATCCTCTATGCGAGCACTACTTATGAAGCTATGTGATATTCAATGGAAACGTAAGGCCTACTCATACTATTGTGGAAAAATTCAACTAACGGTCTTTAATAACCTTAAACGAATTAGGATAAATAGGTCTCTTATATTGATTGACCAACTATTGGTGACTGTCGAATATTCATATTTAAGACCATATGTTGAGGAACTAAGTTTATAAGAATTCGTTAACTGAACTTATAGCTTACATTTATTTTACTCATAGAATGGGCGAGTTGTTATTTTATTGAGGACAGATTTGTAAGTATGGTAACCAGTGCTCTGGTATGCTTTAAAAACTACTATTCTTCATTGACACAGTATAAAGCTTGATAATTATTGCGACTAATGAATTCCTATTGAGCAAAATCCTTTTAGTGTTTATATTTAAATTTAAAAGTTTATTTTGGGCCAATTAATTACGTTATCTGTTGGATAATGGTTTAACTATAGCTTCTTCGGATATTTCATTTATATTCCTTGCCTTACATACTGCCTAAAAATACAGATCTTTCCTTTTTTCATGATTCAAATTGGTGCTTTGACTTTGATAATGTGTTGACTATAAATATTTACGAAAATCCTGTACACGGTTACAATTTTACGTCGCATTTGTATCGCAAACTCAACCGACTCACTCATCATCCTTTCAAATATCGAACATTTCTTAAAACCCATACAAGTGCATATATTTCCATTATAATTATAAAGCAAATGGCATATTCGCAAGTCATCATTATTCTTTCTGGCCTAATGACACCTTCTTCCTCAAGCAAAGCTAAAATTTTTATTTAGGCAACGCATTTTTATTTTAATCCATTGGAATTCTTTTGTTGCACATTGAATGAAGATTCAAACCATATTTACGCATATTAGCAAAAATATACTATTTTTCGCTTACATGATCTTAATTATTTTATGATATTTCATGATATTTCACTTCAATTATATTAGTGTATATCCTTTCCTCTTTTCTCGAACCATTTATTGCTCATCCTGCTGAGTAGAGACCTAACTCAAGCTACACTATTCTGACGCCTGATTCAGTTGCCACTGCCAATCCTGTCATCCCTATGCCGGTGATATCGCCTTCTACTCCCGACACCAGCATAGATTCGACTACATCTAAATACACTACAGCTTCCAATTTTGTGCCCAGATCGAAGATTGAGGAGCCATTTAATTTGCCAGAATTTTGCCCATTGCAGTTACCATGTTCAGCAGAAGCGCCAAAAATTATCCAACCTGAAAAGGAGAATACACAAAAGAATAATACCAGTCTAGAAGTCAAATCCGAAGCCATTCCTTTTTCCTCTACTAATAACGCAAATATTATTACTTCTGCGAGCCCTGATTTTTCCTCTGATATCAGCGCCTCTATCCCATCGAATGTGTAAGCGCCAGTCTATTTACTGTTTGGAACGAGCTTATATTTAATATATTATTAAAGTATATATTGAGTAAATTTTGCTGTCACAGTCAAACTTCAATATTATGGTTTTATGCTGATGCTTTAAATATTTCACACGATGACCCCCTTTCAATAATTCTTTAATTGATTTAGCCTCACTTTGATCCAGTTTCATTCATGCGATAAATACATATTTTTTCC